GCCTAGATAGACTACAGTCTAGTCTTCATAAAGAATACCATGATGCAAGAATATTGTGAAGCAAGTCAAAAGGCTCCCTCTTTTTCTTCTTCTTCTATGGTATAATGGCATTCGCAACAATTAGATGTGCATTCTGCCTCCTACTGTGCGGGTGGATAACAAGGATCCCAAAAAGGAAAACATTTGGGTAAAAATAAATAAAATATCATACAAACTACCAAAAAAGAAAATAACTAAACAAAAATTTTCTGTAAAAACCTAATTCTAATCAGGTCCCAACACAGGCTCAGAAGCCTCCTGTGAGGGCGGGACATTTCCTAGCGACAAAAGTCCTTGTAGTGCTTCTGCTGTGAAGTCTTGGAGCCCCAAAAAATTCCCGGCTGCAGATATAATGATATCCATCTTCTTGGACTTCTTAGACACTTGTGCTGTACAATTAATCACTGTGGCTATAAATGCCACAAAATCCATCTTCTTCACAATGAGTGTATCCAGATCACCCGATTGACTTAAAACACTAGCAACTGCTTGCAATGCATCCACCGCCATATCTTCAAGACTATTGCCTCTTGCCCCTTCCACTCTCTTCACCGCCTCCACATAGGAGATCCGCTGCGCAGGCTTGATCCTTGACCTCCTTCACCCTAACAGGGCACTCAAGGAAGTCCGGAGTATGATCCCCACCACAGTTGCAACATTTTCTATTCACAGATTCTTCAATATCATACTTCTTCTGTCTGCAAACATTTGACACGTGACCATATCCTTTACAATTTCCACACTGTAATGGTTTGGACACAAATGCTCTCACCGCATACCTCACATATCCAATCTTCACATATTCAGGTAGAGTCTCCTCAAACAACAATAATATCGACAGGCTTTTCTCCTTCCTTCCATTTACCATACGGTTCAGGCGACGTGCACTGGCCATTCCTGGGATTGTCTGACTAAGGTACTCATCATCTACATCCAACGAGACTCCAGCTATAACTCCTTTGGCAGGCGCCCTGCTCCGAAGATCAATACATGTTACTTTGGACATGGACAATTTTGCCAGATCCAACACGCTTCTTCTGTTCTTCATCAAACACAATTAACCAAAACAGGGCCGCTTTCTAGTCACCTTGATTGAATCCACCTTTCCCACTGCTTTCTTCACAGCCCTCGATATTACAAATGGATTTCCCAAATTAATCTCCTTGTCCAGAAAATGCAGTCCAATAAGAAGTGCATTATGGGACCGGTCTTTGTCTTCTACTACAACTTATCCTCATTTTGTTCCATTCTTTGATTTCACTATTTTCCGTTCATTATCACACACTTCACTTCCCGTACTTTCGGATTCAAGCACAGTCGCCATTTCATCCTCCTGTCCTACATCGGACTCACGAGCTCACACCCCTTCCGTATCAAGGCTCCCCCTTGCATCACTTGAACAGAAATAAAGCATTCAGGATACAACTCTTCTGCTTCTTCTTCTTCTGTGGATTTTATATGGCGGTTGGCAACCAACTTTAAGGTGCATTACCGCCACTAACTGGACTGGAGTGTGGACCAGAGACTGTGAAGGTCTAAATCCTACCCAATAATCTTGTCTCCCTAAGGAAACGAAATACATAATTAAATACTACATCCCCTGAAGATTTCCCCATTAGTTCACTTAATCCTGGCTCTTCAACTCCATTACTCCTCAAATCTAATAACAATCGCTCCCTTTCCCTCACATATTTCTGCCACTGAAATAGATAGTGTTCCACTGTCTCCATCTCCTCCTGACAATGATCACACCTCCCAGTTGGATGTTTCCCCACCAATTTCAATGTAGTATTGAGCCTTGTGTGTCCCAGTCTCAGCCTTGTGACTACACTTTCCTCCGTTCTGTCTCGGCCTGAGGGCCTCCCTGCCCCCACCTTTTCCTGGATCTTATACAGGTGTCTTCCCTTACTCTCCCTGTTCCACAACTCTTGCCACTTATTATTAACCACTGTTCTTATTAATCCCTTGGCTTCTGCTTTACTGATTGACAATTCCATCTCAACATTAGGATGTTTAAGGGCCTGCTTGGCAATAACAGCCACCTCCTCATTCCCCTCTACTCCCACATGAGCTGGTACCCAGAGGAACATCACAAATACCCCCATCTGTTTCACCCTATACAAGCACTGCAATACCTCATACAATTCATCCGGTCTGCTCTGAGACATAAATTAATTTAAGCTCATCAGTGCTGCACAGGAGTCAGAGCAGATGACTACCCTGTCTGGCCACACCTCCTCCACCCACTCTGCAGCCAATAGTATGGCCAACGACTCCATTGTGTAAACAGATAAATGATCCGTTGCTCTTTTCGTCACTGCCACCTTAAACTCAGGAACACTAAAAGCTGCTCCTGTCCTTCCTGTTTTAGGGTCCTTAGATCCATCTGTGAATATATTCAAGAAAGCATAGTATTTTGTTCTTAAATGTTCCCTTACAACTGAATCTACTCTTTCCTCAACATCTCTTGCCTTCTCAAGCAACCTTAGATCTATCACTGTCTGAGGGCGCAACCAAGGTAGGATAGAAGGAAGAGCTATATATATATATATCATTTTCAACGCCATTCTATCTGCCCCCCACTCCATTCCTGACAAGCAACGCATCACATTCAATATTTTCTTTCCTTTGACAACTACTCTGTTAATATGCTCCGCCCATATCAATCGAGCGTTAAACCAAACGCCCAGGAACCTAAACCCTCCCACCCTCTCCAGATTCCTTCATTACAACTTCAAGTATATTTCCTCCCCAACCTTCCCTCTAGAAAAAAACACAATCTGTGTTTTCTCATCTGAAAACTTGAAGCCCCACCTGAGGGACCACTGCTCAACTTCAGTTATCGCTTCTTGAACTCTTCTGGCAGTATGGGTAATATTTCTCCCTCTCTTCCACAGTGCCCCATCATCCGCAAACAATGACCTCCCAATATCAGGTCTCACCTGGGAGAATACATCTTCAATCATAATGGAGAACAACAAAGGACTAATGACACCTCCCTGGAGGGTACCATTATCTCCCTCATAGCCTTCTGACATAGAGCTACCTGCCTTCACTTGTATTGATTGCCCAAAAAGAAAATCCTTTATCCAGTTAAAAACCCTTCCTCCAACCCCCATGTTATCCAGCTTGATAAGTAGGCCTTCCTCCCACTACATATCATAAGCCTTCTCTACATCAAAGAAAACGGCTACCACCACCTCCTTATTTGCCTGTGCCTCCCGCATGACTCAAGGCACAGTACAGGATCCATCGTTCCCCTGCCTTTCCTGAACCCACTTTGATCTGGTGACGTTAGTCCTCTACTCTCCAGAAAGTACGTCAGCCTTTCTGTTATCATTCTTTCTATAAGTTTACATACGTGAGATGTCAACGCTATCGGCCTATAGCTTGAAGGACTAGTAGGTTCTTTCCCTGGTTTCTGTATTAATAATAATAATAATAATAATAATATGCCATTTAGCAGACGCTTTTATCCAAAGCGACTTACAGTCATGCGTGCATACATTTTTGTGTATGGGTGGTCCCGGGGATCGAATTGACACCACTACCGCCTGCTTCCAACTTCCAGGCAGTTTCCCTTCCTGTCACACCTTATTGTAAAGGCCCAATACTTTCCCCACTGCAGTGTCATTGAGATGAGTCATCATGATGTAACACATCTCATCCTTCCCAGGAGATGTTACCCCAGCTTTAGCTAAAGCTCTCTTCATCTCAGCCAACGTAAAAGGGCCATTCAATGTATCCCCCACCATCTCTCTCTGATCCAGGACCCAGGATGTTCTCCTCTGACCCTCTCTCTCCCACACTGCCCCTCTTCTGTCAGATTATTTGAGCTGTGCACCTTCACAAATGCCTGGGCTAACATCTCAGTCTTCTCCATATTTCTCACTGCAACAATCTCCCCACTTTTCAGCACAGGGAGATCCCAATCTCTTCTGACCCCACTCATCCTCTTAATCATCCCCCATACCTCTCCCACAGGAGTGGTCCTGCCTATGTTTCCACAGAACCGGCGCCAAATACTCCCTCTTAGCTGTCCTAATGATCCTCCTTACTACTGCTTGTACTTGTTTATACTGTATCAGGTGCTGGTACTTATGGGACCTTTTTAACATTCTGAAAGTCATGTTCCTACTCCCCCCTGTACCCATAGGAATCACCTGCCTTGCTCGTTCTCCCCCTTGTACCCATAGGAATCACCTGCCTTGCTCCTTCTCCCCCCTGTACCCATAGGAATCACCTTCATCTGCCTGCCATTGAATTTGAGATTAAAGTTACTGGGTCAATCCTGGTTCCACTGCCGTCATTAAGACTCACAAGCCCTTTCT